GAGAGAGAGAGAGAGAGAGAGAGAGAAAAGGGGAGAGCATGTGAGAGAGTTGCTTTTTCTCTTTTCATCTCAAGTCGTCCAACTCCGAGTCCGAGCGTACACGCTTTTTATGCCCGTTCTGTTTCCTGTACTATAATTGTCAATCTCAAAGGCAATCTGTCTTATTTACTTAAGCCTATCAAACTCATTTTTTAAAAAAGTTTTGGTTTAGATTTGTTCAGAATACATTTTTTGTGTTACCAAGAAAAACAAATTAATTTCTTTTCTGCATTCATTTGCAAAGATTCCAACTCCAGTCTCTACTTCTGTAGGAAAATGTCTACTACAAGTCTGTCCGTTCTATTTGTAATTATGTGAGTACGTTGGAGCATATTATCATTTTGAGTGTGGGTTCAAGCGAACAAGGGCATGTGCACCCGCGTGAGAGAGAGAGAGAGAGAGAGAGAGAGAGAGAGAGAGAGAGAGAGAGAGAGAGAGAGAGAGAGAGGGGGGGGATAAACGCGTAAAAATAATTTTAGGCAATAGACGGTATAGAGCAACGAAAAGGGGTAGGGAAGAAGATGCTCATTTTCTATAATAATGAAAGCACTTGCCTAACTCATTGAGAGTTAAAGCTAGAGCGGTGATTATCTTGACGCTGGGAGAAAGTTTTTATCGTAACTCCATGTGTGGCCAAGACGAAAAGGCGCACATAAGATCGCGTGTTTCCGTGTGTGGGAGGGCTGGAAATCGGAGCCATGAGGTAAAACGGAGGTCACAAGGACGGAATTAATGCTTTAGGACCGGTTGGCCCTTGAACCTCAGTAATAAGACAATGTTTTAATCTTCAGCTGACATGCAAAGTTGCTCACTTCAGCAGCCGAGGCAGATCTCAGTGTAAGTGGAAGTTTGAAAGTCAGCACGACCGTGGAAAGAGAGAGAGAAGCCAGAATGGAAAGTAGAAAAATAATATAGTTTGACGTTTAGAGTCGAGCCGAATCCGGGCGTGAAGCTGTGGATCATTCATCCCCCCCCCCCCCTTTCCACTGGACGTCTTATTTGATAGAGGATAACATGCAGAATTCATTTTAAATTGGATGCAAAAAGAGACGGACAAAAATCTGCTCTTTAAAGAGTATCAACTTCCAATACAAGAAGGAAAAAAGAGACACAACGAATAACACAACTTTGGGACATTGCCATACTAATATAATGCGTCAAAGAATGTTGAACCATTGCTGCATTCTGATATTGGGCGATTGATGTTCAACATTTTACAGTGCTCTCCGTGGGTGACTATTGGGGGAATTTGCTTTTTCTTTCCCATCACATATCTATCGTCCTTATCTCAGCTCTTTCTTTTCTTTGTATCTTACTCATTAGTAAAACCTCTAACATCCGCCACTAATATGACTTATTTGTGTTGCAAGTGCTGCAGAACTCTTACTTAAACTAAAACTAAAAAGTGCTCTCACTGTCTCCTTGAGTTGGTGAAGTTTTCATCAGATGAACAGGCGTGCCAGTAAGGAGTCTAGTCCCGATGGTCTCACTGTATGCTCTGGACCGATGCTTATTAAAAAAATGTTTTGTTTTTTTCCTGTACGGGATATTGACTTGGTTGATATGGTCTCGGTGTATGAACATTTATGCCATTTACAATACAGTGAGTTATAAACTGGTATGACACTAGAAAGACCGTTACTGTAAACTTAAAGAGTATGAAGAAACAATCATCATTTCTCTTTATATCGCCGAGATGTCCTCTTAGTTTATTTTGTCCTCTTAGGCTGTCTTGAAATTTCCCTTCTTACTGCCACTTTGTAGAATATAATAATAATCTTACAAAAGCTATAAAACTCAAACTGAAGCAAAAATATATTGTATTATTCTTCAGTTGACTTAATTTAAGATTAAGTCGTAAGTCGATTTATTTTGTCAGTAATCGTTTCTCATTTTACCAGCGGGTAAACCTAACGAAAAGAGAGATCAAATTGGGAGCGCGTGAGATAGAACAACATAATAAGCAACACATTAAATGCACGCTATTGAAACAAAACAGATATGTATGGCGGGAACAGAACAATACTTCATCGTCCTCTTTCTAAAACATTCTGCATTACATGCAAGGTAAGGGATTTTTAAATATTTTATATTTTAAAAAATGAATTTCAAAGTTTTCACCGAGAGCTTCAATACAAAACTGTGATTCTGTGGCAGAAATTTTTGATATATCTGGATGCAATACAAACAGATGACTTGTGCGACATCTATAATTAAGACGTTTAATTCCAGACCCCGCGAGCAACCAAACATAGGGGGTGTAATATCCGTATGCTATACGATGGTATATACTATTGTAGACGATGAATGATATAGTTTTCCTTGAGTAATCCCATTCTCGATGTTGGCTTATGCCCTTTTCAAGCTGTAAAGCAAACACTGCTATGAATACAATGCACGATCTCCATCTCTCCTCCCCCATCCATCAGTTGTCCGTTCTGGGGTCGTGGTCATCGCTGGAGGCTCAAGGCGTCAAGACTTGGCTCTCCCCGGCCACTTGTTGTTCTCGTCCCTTACTGCGCTCACAGTGGCAACTCCATTGCCTTCCGTTCTTGGATTGGTCACACGACTGTCACCCTAAAGAGAGCGAAGAAATAATACAGTCAATTTGTATATCTTTTTATATCACGGAGATCACCTTTTTACTTATTTTGTCCTCTTGAGAAATTATGAAATTTCACTTCTTACTGACACTTTACAGAATATAATAATATAGTAAATCAATAAAAACTCAAATCGAAGCAAATTTTTTTAGTATTCTTCAGCTAACTTAAGCTGAAAGTCATAATTCGATTCATTTTGTCGGTAATCGTTTCTCTTTTACCAGCAGGTACCCTGACGAAAAGCAAGATCATATTGGGAGCAGGTGAGATAGAAGGACATGATAACCAACCAATAAACGCCAAAAGAACAAAACAAACAACTGATATGTATCTCGAGGACAGAATTACAATTCATTAACTTTTTTCTAAAATATTCTGCAAAACATGGAGGGTAAAGGTTTCTTGCACTTAATTTAAAGAAAAACCAAACAACATTATTCAGAGCTTCGATACAAAACTGTGATTCCATGGCAGAAACATTTGAGATATCTGGATGCAATACAGACAGATGGCTTGTGCGACTTCTATATTAAAATGTCTAATTCCAGATCCCCTGAGAAACCAAACATAGGGGGTGTAATATCCGTATGTAATACGATGGTATATAATATTGTACAAGATGAATGATCAAGTTTTCCTACCAATAACTCCAGTAATCCCATTCTCGATGTGGGCTAATGCCTTTTTCAAGCCGTAAAGCAAACACTGCATTGAATACAATACACAATCTCCATCCTTCCTCCCCCATCCATCAGTTGTCCGTTCTGGGGTCGTGGTCATCGCTGGAGGCTCAAGGCGTCAAGACTTGGCTCTCCCCGGCCACTTGTTGTTCTCGTCGCTTGCGCTCACAGTGGCAACTCCATTGCCTTCCGTTCCAAGATTGGCCACACGAGGGTTTTGTAAAGGTTGTACATACAAGAAAGGAAGATTAAAGCTAGCCTGTCTCGGAGTCCTGCGAGATGTATGTCTGGGGGAGAAAAGATATTGTTTAATCGATGCGGGCAGGCGGAGGGGTCGAGGGGAGGCAGGCTTTCAAAGGCAGCGATGACTGGCGGGGCGACTGAATACACGACTATGGGGCAAAACTGC